GTGTTGGATGCTGGCATCTAGCTCAGGCCTGGCACACACTAAGCACAGGCTCTGCCACTGAGCTGCATCCTGGGCTCGTTGTTGACACATTTTAATGCAGTGGCTAAGTGGCTGAGTCACAGTGCAGGTGAAGTTGCTGAGAGGACTGAACTCAAGGACCAAGGACTGAGCCCTCAGGCTGCAATGTCTAGAGCCTGAAGACTCAAAGTACCCCTAGGGAGGCCAGGAATGAGGGGCCCAGGCTGGGCCTCCACTGGGCAGATTCTCAGGATGCTGACAGGTCATGGAAGATGAGGAGAGCTGGCCATTAGGTCTGTTGGTCTGGACATCACTGTCAACCTGCGCAAAAGCTGGTTGGGTACATGTGTATTGGGCTGTGACTGCCAGGTCTTTAGCCCTTTGCCTCCCCAGCAAGAACTAACTTACAAAATCCAAACATCGGGCACAGTAAGCATCCAGCCTACCCGGTAACCGAGCCCTCAAAAATCAGTCCTGACCTCTAGCTTCTCTGAAGCGTGGGCTGAATCTCAGCTCTGCTTGTCAACTATAGTAGCCCGTCAGTTCACTAACTAAATCTTTCAATGTTTCTGGTCATAAACTGATTTGGACAAGAACTGAATCATATTCAATAGTTATGTTCAATGTTGACCTCATGGAAAGTTTGATTCAGTTCTTGCCCAGCTTGGTTTGGGACTAGAAATATGTAAAGAATTAAGTTCCTGAGGCAAGGTACCACTGTAGCTAGTTAATCCTTGGTGAGTCACTCATCATCTCTGAGCCTCAGGCTGTGCATCTGTAAATGGAGATGATATCAGTAGCTACTTGATAGCTTACTATAATGTTTAAAAGAAAAAAAAAAACATTGTTTGACCCTTTTAACATAATGCCTTCTTAAACCATTACTACTACTATGACTTGGGCAAGGTATATAACAACATTAACAAGGACACACATCAGCCATTCTCCTGACAAAAATAATTCCCACACCAGACAGTCATTCTGCTGCTGTTTTTTTTTTTTTTTTT